TATTTACAGTATATATACAGTATAGTACGTATATACAGTATATCTTTACTGTTCCAAGTAGCTGATTAAAGAAAATGTATTTAGTGCTGAGATGATAAGTCTGTGTACAGAGCAGGTAGACACCTCATTTTAAAATTTTATGGTTAATGTAATTAGCATTGAGCTAAGATATGCAAATGTGGATCAGTGGACAGAGCTTTCGGTTTTGTTAGCTTCGAGCTCCATTTAAAAAGAAGCAAGTTCTAAAATAAAATCCTGTCACAGAAGTTTCAAAGTTACAAATAACCTTTATTCTACTTTTGAATGGTTTATTTACTCTTTACTTTTTATTTACCGTTTATTTTTGTGTTAAGTGGGCAACGAAACGACCACACTCACCTGTTCTTTTCCAACTCATTGTGTGCCGACCTGTGGAAACGAGAAATATATTACAACGTTTCAGCTAACGATGCCACGTTATAATTGAAAATCCAGACAGATACTGGGAATTTGATTAAAGGTCTCACGAACCAGTTGATTATATTATGCTCACCTGTTGTGAATATTATCCAGCTTTTTGTTCTTCAATTTACGCTGTTTCTGCTGAAGTGCAATCTGCGACGCGGGGTATGCTGAAGCATAGCCATGCTCGTATTCTGCTCATGAAAAAACACAAACTAAAAAACTTGAATTTACAATGCTTAGTTACGATCAATGTGTTAACATTAAGACATCTAGAAAATCTGTTGTGTTGTGGATGACTCACAGATACTACTACGYGAAATTTTAGCTCAATATCTGTAAAACTGATTGAAATATAGCAAATTTTGTGTTTTCTAGAATGAATAGGCTGTGGCGGACATCTTGTCTTGGATTAGCTCTTAAAGGTAATCAGTTGTAAATGTACATCAAATGATTGTTTTTTGCGAGATTCGTTGAAATCACTCCAATAGMTCATAAAATATTTTGYTAACAGACACGAGTTGACCAACTATTTAATTGCAAAATTTCAAACAAAGACTTTGTGCAAACTGTTAGTTCTTTAAATATATTTTGTGGATCTGTTTAAGCAACTAGCACAGGACATTTTGGGTCAATATCTGTATAATGGGTTTAGTTATAGTCATTTGGGTGTTTTTTAAGGTCAGCTGATTTTGGCAAYCATCTTGAATCAAGCTGACCCCAAAAGCTAATCAGTCGTAGATGTTTTGTCAATGTTCACTTCCTGAAAGTTTGATTAAACTACATCCTGTTACTCGTGAGATATTTTGCTAACAAGAAAACGTTTTCAACAATGAACCATCTCGCTGTTGTTAAACGAAGCCTACAAATCCCATGAACCACCTCTCTCAGTAACACACGACGTCACAGGTAAGCCGCGGCGCGATTGGTTCGCCGCACTGACCCTCGCGCTTGGAACATGTTTCCTGACCAATCAGAGCCCTACGATTTGTTCCATGTGGAAACCATGTGAACAACACATACAAGGAAGCTGCGGTTGCCCGAGAAAGCAGCGGCAGGGACTAAAAATAGGACATTTTTAACAGGAAAATTAAATCTGAACCGAAGTCTGTTGTGCGCGAGAAGGACCGTAAACGCGACATTTCTTTAGAGGATGTGACGTTTTAAGGAAATAACCTGGAAAATTTGCTCGGATATAATCTGAAATGAAGGCGACGTTCAAATATCAGCTCTAAATTGATGTAAAAATGTGCAAATCTGTTTTTAAAACGTGACATGCACCTTTTGGGGTCTGTTTATGTGCATTTTGAAACGGGTAGCTGCAGGCTATTGTTGCAGTAAAAGATTCCCCTTTATTTCCATATTGGATTCATATCTTAGCCTTTTTTTCCCATTGTGACAGTCATGTCGGTAGTTGTTTTTGCAGCAGCAGGTGAAAATGTTTCTGATAGGTGGGCTACATCTGCGCGTCTTTTTGTCGCCTCTCCTAGCCTTCTATTGTTGTCTGCTCGGCGCGTTATAATCTGTCGACCCCCCACTTCTCCTGTGTTTTACTCACTTCCGTTGCTCTTCTCGACGTTCTCAATGTAACTGGCAGCGTCCAGCAGCACCTGCACGTTCCTCATGAACGTGCCGATTCGGTCCATTGCGGAACATTCGGAGTAGAAAACGTCGCTTAAAGCAGAATAGTCGGACATCTCCTGGTGCTGGTCCTCCTTGGACGCGTCAGACTCCGACAGGACCTCTTCGGGTTTCAGCTCGCTGTGCTGTCGCGTATACTTTACCATTGTTATTTTTTTTATATTCTTGTTTGCTTTTTTTTTTTCTTCTTTTTTTTATACTTTTAAAACTGGAGGCAGGGCTTCAGACAAACGCACAGCGCTGAAATTGCTCCCCTTGTCCTGTGTGCGCACTGAGCGGATGACTGAAATGAACTAGGCTGGATGGAATTGCAGTCCTTAGCCACTTGCCCTACTTGGTGGATAATCCCTCCCACTAACGCATGCACATTGCATCCATTGTCAACTGCTCCATAATAAATCCTCATTATCAATACAACAGGAGGAGTACGAAACACAACAAAGTCTGGTGACATTCTGAAAATACTGCCTGCTCCGGTTTGTCATAAAGCCACACTTTGTTTATCTGAGCGCTGAGTCAGCATTTTCTGCATTGTGATTCTGATTCTCTTTTATAATTATCGTTTGTTCAATCTATAATTTATTCTGTGGGCTTCTTTTTGAAACTCCCTTCTGCATACTTAACATTTTTTTATTATTTTGATATACATTAAAGATATTTTTCAGTCAGATCCTTCAAAAACCCTTTTAATCAGCATCCATCATGTTTTGTCTTGTGCCACATTTTAGCTACCATGCTACTACTTTAGTCAGCATTTTGTTATTGTGTTAGTTTTAGTTAACGTTTGGTTAGTATTTAGTTACTTTTAGTTAGCATTTTGCTACTTCAGAGTTTACATTTATATTTTAGCTACCATTTTGCTACATTTAGCTACTAGCCTTTTGGTGCATCTAGCTTTAAGCAAACCTTTTACTTTTTCTATAGCGTTTTGATACTTTTAGTATTGAGATTTTGATACTTTTAGTTTTTACGTAGTGCTTAATACTTTTAACTGGTGTTTACTATTTCTAGCTTTCAGCTAACATTTAGCTATGTTTAGCATTTAGCTGTTTTTATGTCATTTTTTCACACATTTCAGCAGTCGTTCAGCATTCAAATGACGCTTTTGAAGAACAGGATTTCTTTAGTGTTAATTTGTTATAAGCTGTATAATTGTGACAAATTCTCGGCCTTCTGTGCTGTACTGTTATGTTTGTGTAGGGCAGTGGGGGCAGATAGTATCGGACCCAATCCTTAGTTCAACCTGGCTATCAGCTGGCCTTAATAATAAATATGTAATCAGCTGAGGCTTTTGTGTTGCAGAAGGGCCCTACATGAAAATAAACAATAAATGCAGCACACATTTGCCTGATGTTGTAGTTTAAGTTTACTTGCTTACTCCTAATTTAGCTTCACTTTAGAATCAGCTTTCCGTAGCATCTATATCACATGCTATTTTAGGCAGTTTATTATGTTGCATTTGATTATAATGGTTTTACCTAAGTGTATGTTTATGTAAATGGCTGTGTTAGCAAAATAGCTCATGAACCACTGGATGGATTTTGATGAAAATGTCTGACAATGATCAGCAGATGTACATCTAGACCTGATGTTAATCAGGAGACAATTCAGTGCAAGACGGCCATCACTGCCAAGTGTTTTTAGGAAATAAAAAAAAATGGATTAGTCAGTTTTACAGACATTGAGCTAAATTAGGCTTGATAGTTAGCTGATTGGCAGGTTGGCGTTCCTGGATTGCGATGTCTCGGTTTTGGATGGAGGACGGTTGGAAACTGGCGTGTATCGTAAGCCCACCCACA